AATACTCAGGTGTAATTTGCCTTTCTTGTTCTCAGTCTTTTATAAGTGTGCAGTGGACTTTTCTAGAGGCTCCATGACATGTAAAGATATCATCATTTTGGAGGCTAATGCAAAGTTTGCTTATATATTGTGTGCTTGGTATTGTTTTTGTTTTAATTTCTAAATGGTAATATAAATAGATACATGTACACAGAAGCTCTCTGAAATCTTTAACAATTTTTAAGAGTGTGAAGGGGTCCTGAGTCCAAATGGTGTCCTATTCTAGAGAGTATAGAGTACGTAGAGAAGGTCATGAGATACTACAGTGACTGTAGGCAAAAATGAGTATTTAAATTGGTTCAAACTATAAACTGATTTGCATAAGATGTTGGAAATTCAACTCCAAACTCTTTTGATCTCATACCATCCCTAAAAATATTTTTGAGAGTGCATTCACAATATATGTATTATTTTAAAACAATGAAAATATACTGTTATATAAAACATTAAGAATCACAAAAGGGGTACCTGGGTGGCTCAGTCAGTTAAGTGTCCAACTTCGGCTCAGGTCATGATCTTGTGGCTCCTGAGTTAGAGCCTTACATCAGGCTCTGTGCGGATAGCTCAGAGCCTGGAACCTGCTTTGGATTCTGTGCCTCCCTCTCTCTCTGGCCTTCCCTGCTCACATTCTGTCTCTCTCTCTCAAAAATAGATAAACATTAAAAAAATAAAAAACAAATTGAGAATCACAAAATGTAGGGATTTCATACAAATGAAGTAATATTGTAAAATAATTACTTTTTATTAATGGTAAAACACCTTTTGCTCTCAGTGAGAACTAATAAAGTTAATAAATATACTTTATACTTCATTATTTTATTAAAGTCATTTTTTATCACTTTATAATAAAGCCATAACAAAGTCTAAGTTCACTGTATTGTGGTCCTTAATGTTAATGACTGCCAGAGCTGGAAAGGACACCTTATAGAGGATAGAAAAACAATAGAAAGCAGAATAAAAAGAAAAAAGTTATTGTGCCTCCTTATTTAGGATAAGTTACATTTCATTCCAACTATCAACTATGCAATGGTTTTTGTTGAAACTCGGCTAGTATATTTCAATCTTCGATGTCAACTAGTTGGAAAGGTATAAAGCTATGTTGATATTTCCAGCAAATGGGTCCAAAATCCCCTGAAACTCTTCATTTCGGTGATTATTTTAAGTTTATTTATTTATTTTGATAGAGTGGAGGAGGCAGAGAGAGAGAGAGAGAATCCCAAACAAGCTCTGCATTGGCAGTGGGGCTCGATCTCATAGTTCATGACCTGAGCCAAAACCAAGAGTGGGACGCTTACCCGACTGAGCCATGCAGAAGCCCCCATTTGGATAACTTTTATTCTTTTTTTTAATGTTTATTTTTGAGAGACAAAGAGACAGACTGTGAGTGGGGGAGGGGCAGGGCGAGAGGGAGACACAGAATTGCAAGAATACATCCTCTGAGCTGTCAGCACAGAGTCCGACCTGGGACTGGAACTCACGAACCATGAGATTGTGACCTGAGCAGAAGTTGGGTGCTTAACTGACTGGGCCACTCAGGCGCCCCTGGATAATTTTTAAACAGACTAAAAATTATGACTTCAAGTTTAAGTGTACAGATGGGAAAGTTCACAGGTGGCACACCCACATCACTTTTGGCCATAAAATCACGTAACGTGGGAGAATTCAAATGGAATTTGTCTCAACATGCAGGGAGCGAATGAATGAAGGTGCCACTACTACTCACTCTGAGCTGAGCAACTCATAGATGACTTCTGATGCCGATAAAGGAAGAACACCAGTAGTAATTCGTGTATCAAATACTCACACAATGAACTCAGAGTTTTTCTATTTTCTTCCTGCAACTCGTGTTGTGTGCACTCAGCTTTGGGAGCAGTAGAAAGGCAACAGGAAGTTTTAATTGGAGAAGTATTACCAGGTCTCCGGTTTACAAGTGTAGGAGACCAGTAAAGTTACAGGGAGGGCCAGAAAGGGGACAGTGGAGGCAAAAGACAGAGGGAGGCTAGGGCCCAGACCAGAGTGTGCAAGGATAGAGGGGAGGGGTGGGTTGGAGGGGCAGTTTGAAGATACACTTCACAAAGTTTGGATATGGAATGAGAGGGGAAATATCTGGAGTGGAAGATAATGTCCTTCCCTGAGTATGAGAGGAAGGAGGTAGGGATTATGAGTTCAGTTTTGGATTATATGAACTTCCACCCCCGTGTGTTATGAAGGTGACATTTCACAGCACTGGAAGTGAAGATCTGGGCAAGCTGAAGCAAAGCCAATTCCTCCTGTCTTATTTCTCAGTCCTATTTATGATGAAGCTTTTTTGCCTTTTTTGGAAAATCATCCATTTCTTTGACACTCTGAAGAAAGCCACTGAGTGGCCCCACTTCAGAAAAGTAATGTACACACCTCGATGTAAAACTGTGCGTATGCTTTACCGGGCCCCCGACCCACAGAGGTCCACCCACAACTACAGAGCAGAGCCCTGCCCTGATTGGGTCCCTTGCTGTTCTCCAAACCTGCCCTATTTCCTTGTCTATGTGCCATCCTTCTGAATCAGAGATAATTTGCTAATTATAAATCACTTCCTATTTTAGAAACCCTGATGACTTATGGTCAAATGCTTATGTTCATCGTGCTGACTAAAGAACTGTATTTTTAAAACGGGGTGAGAGATGGGAGGAAGGATGGATAAAAAGAAGTGAATTTGAGGCTTTATGATTCCTCTGGGTGGGCATTCACAGAGCTCATAGAGGATGGGACTCAGTAGGACACACCGCACCACCTGTGTGTGATTCTTGCCTCATTGCACCAGAGTGGAATACAAAATACAAGACAGAAAAACAAGTTAAGATTTTTTTAATGTTTATTTTTGAGAGAGACACAGAGAGACAGAGAGAGACAGTGCACGAGCAGAGGAGGGGCACAGAGAGAGGAAGCCACAGAATCCCAAGCAGGCTCCAGGCTCTAAGCTGTCAGCACGGAGTCCAATGCGGGGGTCAAGCCCACAAGCTGAGATCATGACCTGACCCGATGTTGGATGCTTAACCAACTGAGCCACCCAGGTGGCCCAAGAAAAACAAATTAAATGGCACCATTTAAAGCAATCGGCCAAATCCAGAATGTGGGCCCTTCTACAGAACAAATGACCCAATTGGCCCGACATATTAATAGCACAAAAAATTAAAAGGAATGTTATGGGATAAAAGAGGCTTAAGCAGTGGGAGCGATCCAAAGCAATAGGACTATGTATAGTGGACAATCTGAGAAGTTAGAATATGTACTTAGCATTGGATGACACTAAAAATAATTTAGGTAGGTATGAAAATGGTGGTTGTAGGAAAAGAATTATCAATTAGAGATGCACCCTGATGTATTTGTGGGTGTGAGGACACGGATGTCTGGGATTTGCTTTGAAATAATCTAGAAATAAGGAGGGAGTGATAGATAAAACAAATCTGGCAAAATGTTAATAATTGTTGAAATCAGATAATGGATACATGGGGGCTCCTTATATTCTTACTTTCCTGTGTGTTAACATTTCCCACAAAAAATTAATTTTTCATTTTTTGAGAGATGGAGACAGAATGCAAGTGAGGGAAGGGCAGAGAGAGAGGGAGACACAGACCCAAGGCAGGCTCCAGGCTCTGAGCTGTCAGCACTGAGCCCAATGCAGGGCTTGAACTCAGGAGTTGCGAGATCATGACCTTAGCTGAAGTCTGACCCTCAACCAACTGAGCCACCCAGGCACCCCTGCCTCAGAAAGTATAAGAAAAGATCACAATTAATTTGTTAAAAGCACAGTTCCAAAATCTGGCTGATGATCAGAATCTCCTGGGGAGCATTAAAAAAATAGATTTAGAGCCACCTGGGTGGCTCAGTCAGTTAACCTTCCGACTACGGCTCAGGTCATGATCTCACGGTTAGTGGGTTTGAGCCCCACGTCGGGCTCTGTGCTGACAGCTCAGAGCCTGGAGCCTGCTTCAGATTCTGTCTCCCTCTCTCTCTCTGCCCCTCCCCCACTCACACTCTGTCTCTCAAAAATAAAGATTAAAAAAATTTTTTAAAATAGATTCTGTGAGCTGCAGTCCTCTTGAATCAATCTTCTGTGGGTATGTTTGCACTGGGTGAAAGAATGTGTCATTTTACAATTTCCCAGGACTCTGGCTGCCAGGCCTTGTAGCCACCACAGCAACACAGGTCACCTCTTCCAAAGTCTGACCCAGGAGATCTTCCACCAGGCTTCCCTCCTCCCTCCTGTGTCTCCGTCCTTCCCGTCTCTCTCTGTGCTCGGCTCTCTTGCTTTCCTTTTCTGTATCACATTAAAGTCAAGGGCAGGAGCCTTTGGAGCAGCACAGGGACCTTATGTCTCTTGGGAATGGGTACAGGTGGACCCTTCCCACTCCTGTCTGAGCCTCAGCGCCCTCACTGTTGAATGATGCTCTATCCTCATGCAGTTAATAATGTTCACAGAGCTCTCTTACCACCCAGGGGCAGGACATGTGTCCCCTGGCCAGGTGTACCTCGAAATGAAGCTGTTTAGGAAACAAGGCCTTCATGTTTGGGTCTCTTCTTTCATCATTTGTAAACCAAAAAACATCAAAATCTGTTCTTAAATAATTTATTTTTTAATAGTGACTTTTGTAAAAAGTTACACTTATTTAGGAAATCTTGAAGAAATACAACCGAGTAAACCACTATTAGGGACAACTAAATGTGCAAATTTCAAATGCTTTCTATATTAAGTATAAATAATTCCATTTTTTCACATTAAAATGAAAATATTGATAAACACAAAATATTAAAATACCAACTGTAGAAGAACTAGATGAACACTGAAATTTGTTTAAAATCTTTAGGAAAAAAATTATTATGATTTATTTCTAGGTAAGAGACTTATGGAGTTCCAAGTGGCAAATATGTCATGGAACACAAGTAAAGGCTACGTAGAGTTATAGATTGCTAATATTTTCAGGTCATAATTTCCAGACCAAAAAAAAAAAAAAAAAAAAAGGCAGCCTTTACCTCTGGGAGCTACGTGTTTCCCCCTTTATTCCTAGAACAAGTACGACAGTAACACAAAGCATATAGAGAAACTGCGCGCCAAGGACAGAAAGAAATTTCCTTAAGCTAGTTCATGGTCACAGGGCTTTGCTGTCCCAACGCTAAGGTGCCACTGGATGTGAGGTCACTGGCGGCACCAGTGGACAAAGCATTAACACAGCAAATAAAACCATCATTAAAGGCCACATCTTCCCCATGACCTTCTCCAATCTCATCCCTGTTCCTTCCCAATCTTATCTCTAAGGAGGTAGGATACTGAGAGGCATAAGCAACCAAAGTCCATCAAAGAGGCCAAATCCTCAATGTAGTCAGGAAGTTGCCGGTAAAGCGAACCACTATGAATCTGTTATTTCAAGACACTACAGCAAGCATTTTCCCCAGGACAGAAGAAATGTCTTCATTTAAATAATCTTGAAGTTTGTAATAAAATAAATAAAGTGAATTACATACACACAATAGAGAGCTCCCTTTAACAAGGCAGCCGGTGGAATTCACGCAAGCTGTATACAGATGGCGCCCCTGACAACAACCAGAAAATAGGTTATTATTCAGTCCTCCTACTTAAACTTTGAGGGCAGTATTTCAAACATAATAATAAAAAATTCCCTCATACATAATATAAGGGCACATTATATTATATATATATACACACGCTTATGCACATCTCAGTCCGGGCTAACTTCGAAGAGAAGACAGTGATAACCGAGAGAGTCACACGTCTTCCTGCTATTAAAATGTTCTAATTTTTTCAAAGGTGCATACTGTAAAGAGCAGCTGGTTTGCTTTTCAGTGTGAACGTATTCAGTCGCAGCAGCCTCAGAATGACAGTCTGTGGATGGTTCTGTTTCTGCCCAGTCCGTGGGAAAGGAACGAGGCAGGTAGAGAAAAACCACTAACTACTGACACGCTGAACATTTCCATTCTCCCTGAGCTTCCTGACCTTCTGGCAGAGGGCCCGCAGGCCGTGAGGGTTCAGCTTCCAGTCTCTGAGCAATGCCCTCGGGGGGCCGGCCAGGCGGAATGGTTCTGGCTCCCCGGCCGCCTGGCCGTGTGTCTTCTCCCTTTTCTCCTGGGACCACGGAGCGGTCCTGGCACACATTCCCAGTCCATAATGCTCCCGCCTTCTGCATGGTGGGTGAGGGGGAGCAGCCCTGGGCAGGACAGACACCATCCACCGCCAGTCACTAGCTTTGCTCAAAAGCCACCTGGGAACGCTCCCTGGAACTGGGACCGCGACCTTATCTTCCCTCCCCGGCATGAAGGCCCCTCCGGAGCTCACTGCCGCAGGGACGGCCCTCCGGCGGGGACAGTGCCATGCTGGCTAGTGGCTCGAGGCCCCCTGTGGCCGGGCTGGCCACCGCTGCCGTCAGCCGTACAGCTGCTTGAACTGGAAGCACTCGTTGCAGTAGCCGTTGCACTTGGCGTTGCCGAAGTGGTCGCAGGCGGGGGCGCGGCAGCGCTGCTTGGGCGGCTCCTCGGGGGCTGGCTCGCCCCGGTGCGCCCCGGGGCCCGCTCGCTGCCCGAGGTGCTGGCACTCCATGCACAGCTCCTCGCTGCGGCACGCCAGGATGTTCTTGCAGGACGCGCGAGCACACTTGGGCCTGGAGGCGCTCGGGGCGGTTCGAGGCGCCTCTCTGCGCTGGCTCGTTCTCTGAGTGGGAAGAACAGAGGGAACGGTTGGTCCTGTTGCTCGGAAACAGCAAGGGGCAATCTCATGGGACAGCATGGGTTCTACGGAGATCTCTACGGGGCCAAGAGCAGCGTCCCGACCCAGGGAACCAGAGTTCCGAGTGCAGTCTGTGGTCAGGCGCCGTCCGTGGACGCTTCCTTTTGGTCCCACAAAAGTGGGTCTGGCCCCGGGGAGGCCGAGTGGAACCCCCAAGCCTCGCCCCGAGGCCTGCGAGCGCTGGCCCAGCTCGCCTCTGCCGGGATGAAGAATAAGCTGCCCTTATTTAGATAAACTCCCTGCTATTCTACAAACAGGAGAGGCATCCATTGGCCAGAGCTTGCTTTTCTTACATGCCATCGTGCGGGGGCGCCCGGGACACTCTGCCTCCTCCCGTGTCTCCTGGTAAAGGATTACTGGAGGAAGTCGGCTAGCCTCTTAGATGCCTGTGCTTCTGCTACAAATGCAAGAAGTCTCTGGTCGGCATCTGGATGTTTGGAGGCTTTACGAGGTTTTAATCTATGGCTGGCTTTATTTACTTTTTTATTTGATTTGTTTATTAAAAGTTTTTATTTATTTATTTTGAGAGAGACAGAGACAGCGCGAGTGGGGGAGGGGCAGAGAGAGGTGGAGAGAGAATCCCAAGCTGGCTCCGCACTATCAGTGCAGAACCCAATGCGGGGTCAAACTCGGGAAACTGTGAGATCCTGACCGGCATAGAAAGCAAGAGTTGGGTGCTTTAGAGATGGAGACGCCCAGGCGCCCCTATTTACTTTTTAAATGAATTCTAAAGTATACTTCAGCCGTGGAAATCAAGAGTTGCTACTGCACTTCCAACCCCAGGGTGTGTGTGTGGGGGGGAGGGGGGCAGAGACACCACTCCCCTCCCATTCTTCTCCTGGAATAGGGAGCAAAGTCTGCTGGTCTCAGGGGAGCAGCAAGGAGGGCTGGCCCTCCGGGGAGGGGGAAGGACCTCAAAACATCTTACCAGTTGGTCTTCGGTCCTTTTCGCCGCGTGAAATCTCTGGCTCTGCGCTTCAATGAAACACTTCTGACAGTATCCCTCAAACACGGTGCTTCCGAGAGTGCCACATTCCCTCCCCAGGCAGGGGACGCCATTCTGGAACCGGGAGGCCGTGGGACCGGCCTTCGAGGTGGCAGTGACAAAATCTAAAAGAGAGTTGGTGCCAATCAGTGCCTCATGGGTGGTCTCCAAGCAGAGAGAGGCGCTGCCGTTAGAGAAACAAACACGTTTTGGACACAGATGCGGGCAGCCTGCAGTGTGTCCAGGAGTGCGGCCTTTTACAGATGCCACAAGGTCAAAACCAGTCATGATGCCATTATTGAACCATCTTTGACTTATTAAATCTCTCACTTTTGAACATGCTGCACTGGCCGGGCACAGTCACTGTGCAGAGGCATTAAGTGCCCATCCTGCTTTCCAATTAGATTTTCATCACGTCAGTGGAGACTTCCCTCTCTCCAGCGACTGCTCCTCAGATTTTGAGTTTTCTCTATTACATCTAAGTTTCCAGAGAAGTCTTGTTTAAACTCGACCTTATAAATAAATGCCAGACATTGAATGGGCTTCTGGGAAAACAAATTCTACCGATGCTACCTACGAGGCACTATCGGGTTTTGGAAGGTGGTTTTCTGTGCCTCTCGCCTCCACGGAGGGCTGGCACAGCCACAGTGACTGTCCCTCTGTGCAGGCCGCACCTGACCCCATCGCCCAGAGGGGCTGCCTTCCTGAAGTTCAGGAACAAACTTCTAGACAGGGGTTTTGGAAACGAGGGTTAGGGAATCAATCATTTCACTCACGTTTGTTTTCTCTGTACTCGATGAAACACAGCGTACAGAAGCCTTTGTTTTCTGGAGTCCCGAAGTACATGCAGCCGGCTTTTCTGCACTTGCTCGTCCCTGTCCTGTCCCCTGGAGTCCGTGGGGCCTGAGAGAGGCAGGCAGGGGGGGCCTCGGTCCCGGCCCTGCGGCAAGAATGTGGGGAGAGACTCTGGATGAGCTGCGAGGGGTCCGACTTGGACCTCTGGTGACAGGAAGGAGGGACGCTGGAGCTGGGGCCCAAGGAGGGCTCCGCCGTAGTCCTTTTGAAACAAGTACTGCAGATCCCATTAAACGTCCTGGTGACGTCCTGCAGGCAGGCCCGGCACTTCCCGGGGTCTAAGTGCCTCGTGTTGTCCGAGGTGTGGCCTGCGTTAATTTGCCGGGCATGGTGGCAGCGCTCGCAGAATCCGTTGTGCTGCACGTTCAGCGTGAAAGGGCAGCCGGGGCTCCTGCACTTCATGGCGGTGGTCTCACTGAACAGGAAAAGGCTGGGCGCCGTCGGAGGGGCCGAATGCGGCCCCCCAGTGGGCTCCTCGGGGCTCCAGCCCACGGGCTCATAGGCCTCACCCCGGGAGGCGCCGGGCGCCATGCCGGGGAGCACCTCGGGGCCTGGCTTGGAGTGCAGCTTTGCGGACTTGGTTTGGTTCTTCTGCCGCCTCTCGGAGCACTCGTGGCACAAAGGCTGGGTGTTCACGGACATGAAGAAAGGGCAGTTGGGCGTTTCACATTTTACGTCCATGAGAGAAAGCTGGGGCACGGAAGGGTCCAGAGGGTTCTGGGCATGCGTCTCTCTCCGCTCTTGCTCACTGTTCTCCTGCCATTTCTTGTATTCGTGCTGGACCAGTTCGAAGTAGTCATCTACCAAGTTTATTTCTTTTGGTAAGTTAGCTTCATCCAGCCTAAAGACCAAAAGGCAAAATGTGAGATGATGTGCACACCCACAGACACACACAGACACACACGACTTCACATCGTGAGCTCATAGGGCAAAACTTTTAGCATGGGGATTACAGTAATAACATGATAACCCTTTGCCGAAATGCAGGCCTGTGATGAAGGGTCTGCACCTCTAATATAGTCCAGTACTGCTAGGGAGGCTCTATTATTTCAGGAACCATAGCCTTATTTAACCAGTCTTGTGCCACCCCCAGTTACAGATAATTCTAAAGAAAGGGCTATTCTGGGGCTGCCTCTTATACTGAATTACTCTGATCCTCTTCTAAAAAGTCACTTTTACTTTTTAACTCCTCAGAGATCAAATTTCTAGCAAAACATTACTCAGGGTATCCATTTGGGACTAGTCTACTCTACAGCTCAGTCTACTTTGGGACTTTGTGTCCTGTGTGTTGCTGTTATTAATCTTAAACTTGTGCCTGGTCTCTACCAGCATTAACTGCTTCTCTTGGTCACAGAGCAGCAGACACGCCCCCAGGGCACTATCCGCTGCTGACTTCTGATCCTCTGTAATCTGTTCATCTCCACTTGGAGACACTGATTCTCACATGCCTTCATGGTCCTCTCTTGTACACTGCAAATCCTAAGAAGCAGGCCTCTCTCTAACATAAAGGCGACCCGTGTTTAAGGTTTGGATATGGGCACAGTGTGCACTCTGTGTCTCTCCTCCATTCCACGTTGGCATAATCACAATCTACAGCCCAGTTTGTGTCTGATGTGTCTGTCTTGACCCAGAAGCCAAGAGAAAAAGGCTTCTGTTTCCAAGAATTTTCACTTACTTGCTTACTTCTAGGGCGATTAAATGAAACAAAACAAAACCATCCTTGGTTTAATACACTTAAAAGCCACTGTTCTGACCACCGGCATCCAGATAGGCAGGAAAATCGTTACGGATACCCACGTGAAACCAAAGGTAGTACTGCCTCCAGTCACCCTCTCTGACTCATGGACACAACTCTGGATTTGTTTCGCATTGGAAGAAACTGGCTTCAAAAGCTTTATTGTTACGCTCTGGGGAGGCATCAGCTGAAGTACAAACGGCTAAGAATAACAGAGGACAGAGCTAAGCATAAACTCTTACTTTGCAGCATTGATCAAATGGGTGGTGCCGTGGTCCCAGCCTTGGACAGGGATTTCGATCACCATCAAGTACTCTTTCAAGAGCTTTTCCTTCATCTCGTTTTCAGGATCTGTCAAAAAGTGAACTTTTAAGTCTTCAAATCTTCCTCGCTCTCTGTTAACAAGTGGAACAGCTCGGATTTCTGGAGGAAGGAAATAATGCGTCAGCAACACGTGATTCCGCTAAATGAGATTACGTGTGAGTCTGCGTAGGTAATGATTACATTTTGAAAACACAGAAAGGATACAATTAAAGAGTGGAAAAGTGCGAACTAGCCACGGTCAAACGCAGATGGTAGGATGCACTATACTAAACTCTAGCATCCAATGCTTTATTCAGGAAATTCAGGGATTATCCAGCAGCCCAGAGGCAGTAGATCTCACGGGTTAAATCCCCACAGTTCAGAATCAGACTGATCTGAGTTTGAATCCTTTGTTCCCACAATTCAAAATCAGACTGATCCAAGTTTGAATCCTTGGTGACATGAGGCAAGTTATTTAACCTCTCTGAGCTTCTCATCTGTAAAATAAGGCTACCAATGCTTACAGCCCATCAGGACGCAGTGAGGATGAAATGAAATAAAATAATGTCCCTAACACATTCAGCACACTGCCTCTTCCACTGGAAGCTTTAATAATAACAGCTAACCTGACAGACATTTACCTGCTCCATGCCAGGGCTTTGTGCCTTACTTTGTCATGTATCAATGGCAGTAGTAATATGATACAAATATCTCCTACTTGAAAGTACTTTCCACGCCAAACACAAAGATAGCGGGTGTTATGATTACTGCTATTGCATGACTGTTGCTAATCAGGCACAAAACAGAACACTGTATTCAAATAAACATAATAAAGGTAAAGGAGGCGATTATAATAAGGCCCAAAAGAGTCTGGTGCTCAGTGGGAACAGGGTGTCCTAATATCTATCAGCGGTTACAAGTGTGAATTCATGCTCTGTTTTCTCACCAGGTCCGCTGTCCCTCAGGGTCACCAGGGGTACAAAGTGCTGGCTGTCGTAGCCGAGAATGATGGGATATCGGTAACATTCCTGGGCTGGCCAGTGGAGAGGCAAGTAAATCCCGCCCACCTTCAAAGGAGCAAAATTGGAACCCGATTCCAAGCTTCTCAGCATTTTGTCTGTGTAGGGAAAGAGAAAGAGAAGTAAGGCCCTCCGATGATTTTCACCAAATTCTCTTCAGCGGCCATTGCCTGTGACTTAGGTAGCATGGCTTTTTCCTAAGAGCTAAAGCATTAAAGCTTTGAAAAGCACTCAAATACAAATATGCGATCTGAAGGCATCTCACCAGAAATGACAATGATTGGCCTTCTGAGTATGTTGCAGAGGACAAAGATGTGTATTTCCTCCAATGAGTTATACTGAAGTCCACCTCGGGCCACAGGTGTGTCTGTGGATGCCATTTTGATGAGGCTGTCCCACTCATCGGTCCAATTCTAAGGAGAAGGGGTAAAGGAAAAATCACGATTGAATGAATGCTCTATGCATTAAAAATGCAGTCTGACTTTGCTCTCAACTTATTCATTTACGTAATTCAGCTTGCTTTCCCCTTTCTGGAAATCATCATTCAAATGATCACCCTTTTTTCCCCATTTTGGTGTTCTTCCTTTACTTTTTTCCACTAGAAGGCAAACTTAAAAAGTGGGGGAGGACAGGGACAGCACTTGTTCTCAAAAAGAATTCCCTCATAAGGCGCAGCACCAAAGCCCCTTATCCAAATGTACGCAAAACTTCCAGGCCTGGGAACTGAGAACCGCGAGGCCCACATCTGAATTTGATCGGCAGGCTCAGTATAGCATGCAGAGGGGCAAATTGGAAAGCGACCGAAAACGCCACAGGCAAGGCCATGAACAGAACCCCTCCTGCTAGAAGGCAGAGATACCACAACTGGGCATCTGCTGTCCAGAAGTCCCTCTGTGGTGACAACAGCCTCAGGTTCATCCCATAGGAGGTTTCTGGTGTTTTCCATGGGCCGTGCTTTACTTAGTCCAGTGCATGTGACCTTGTAAATCATAAGCTCCTTGACTGAGAGCAGGGCACTGGCCTGAGGGAACCTTTCCCACCAAGGAGCTCTATCAACAGATACTTAAGGGGGGGACAAAACATACCCGAGTGTCGTAGCAAAGCCCTGTTTCCACAAACTCCTGAGATTTCAGAGACTCGAGCTGCCAGCGGAATTTAAAGTTGCGCGTATCTGTCTCCTTGAGGGTGCTGAAGAGTGCCTTTCTCAGGACCAAGTCTGTGTCCTGAACACCCCACATGTACTGAGAAGCAGCGTGCATGAGGCAGTTTCCATCACCTGAGGACAGAAGCAACACACATTAAAGACCTACAAGCACTAGCCTGGGCGCTGCATAGGGCAGGCCCATGAGAAATGCAAATGGCTTAATTTCTTAGTCAAAGGACTCGCTGAGAACACTTCCCAAGCTGCTGACAGCTTTCAGGAAAAAAGCCATTCTTTTCACCCTTATTTTTAATGACGACACCAACCTAGTAAAGCAGCCAGGGACTGATTATCAGGGGACCTTGATTCTAGCCTAGCTCTGCCCTAACTGGTTTAGGTGTGACCTTGGGGGAAATTCCTCAGCTTCTGAGTATTTTTTCTCTTTGTGAAAGGAGAGCATTGGATTATAATCTCTAAAATCCGTCCTTTCCTAGCGTTCCTTGATCTTTTGGCTAAGACACTAGCACTATCGCTCTCTGGCTCTAGAGAGAACACACTGGGTAATATGCACAAATCAGGAAGCTGGCCTGGCTCTGTGTACTAGATGGGGATGGTCTGGCTATGACTCAGTGGTAAATGACTTGACCATTCCACTGAAGACTTTGGGGCCTGGGAGTTTCCTCCCTGGGTTTATAAAGTGGGATTGAGAACATCGAATTACCCATCCACCTTTGAGCATTTTGAGAAAAAGACAGGTCTAACTCTATTCCATTAATTTGTTACTTTCACAGGTGAAAACCCACAATTCAAGTGACTGCCTTTTTCCCAACCCCCAAACAATAAACATTTGGTGGGGAATGTTCAATACCAAAAAAGTTAACTCCTTACTCTTGTTAGGCAAGTGCACAGTTGTTTTTATAAAGAAAAGTTCACCTGCTTTCTTATATTACTCCACAAGTAGAGCTATAAAAGCTTTAAAAATTTTTCTATCAGATTTTAACAAAATAAAACAAAAAATAACACAACAAAACAATGAAGAAAACCCCTCACACATACATATCCACAGCCAACGTCCCTGCGATGAAATAAAATAATCAGACAAATGAGCAAAAAAAAAGATCGCTCAGTCTTTTGTCTTGGCAGAAGTGTGGCAACCATTGCATTCTGTTGAAATTTCCCCTTTGCAAAATCTAGAGCAAAGATAAGGCTTTTTTTTTTTCTTCTTCTTGCGCTTACTTTCAGTTCTTTATTGAGATGCACCAGTACAAAATTCCCTAAGTAACATCTGGAATTCCCCAGCGTGAAGTTATTTGACTAGCAATTGAGCAACAGCTATTGTACTTTTTGTTCTGGTGTGTAGACATTTAAACAGCCAAGTGCACCCTGGACTTTCCAAGTGGGTGTGGTCAGGGTGAGCTGGAATCAGGCTACTCATTATACAAGTGAAATCGCTGTAGCCAATAGACGCTGGAATTTTTCACATGAAGTTTCAATTTTATGCCACCTACTCCCTTCCTCATTCACCACAGTCTCATATCCTCAAATGCAAACTTGTGAATCACCCCCTCCCCAAACAGGCCATTCACTTTGTAGAACCCTCCTACAGGGGATAGGTGTTTTTTTTTTTTTTTTTTTTTTTTAAGGTGCTAATAAAAACCAGAGTAAAAGTCACTTTGTTTCCCTCTCTTCCCCTAAATATCTTTTCTTGTCCAGAATTTTAAGGAATTTTCTTGAACCTGGGGAAATACAAGGATCTGAGGCCCCAAATCCCTATTTCCCAGAAAATGGTATCAAAATGCACTTGCTTTTGCAGCTTTATTTGTGGCATGAGCCTTTGCTGACTTTAGTGACCTATCTTTGCAAGGCAAGTGTTTACTATTTATATACATTTGTTTTCTTAAGGAGTAAAGTCAACCTAAATTGTCAGTTTACTCTGTTAAGGATAAGATGGTTTTCCTCTTCCGACCACATTTCCAATTTGGCAGAATCTCTCTGTTTCCAACTCTCCCAAAGTTCACTGTGTCTCATTTTTGGTAACAAAACAGGAGAAAGAGTTAAAACCACAAACTGTCAGGAATATAAACCCCTTGATGATGACTTAACATAATTACCCACTTCTATGCATCACTTGATTTAAGGCCAAGAACAATGTAAACACTGGCTATTCCCAGTATTCGTTCTACCTTTGTCTCTAAGAATCTATGCTTCAAAAGTATAGACAACATGTTGAAGTAATGCACAAGACTACCCAGGACACAGCAAAATACATTACCTCCAATCACTCCGCGTTACCCAACTCCAAAACAGCCAAAGATAATGCACCAACTAAGTTAATTAAGTTAATACTCTTATCTCCTTGTCAACAAGATCTCCTCTGCTTGAACGTATTATTTGGATGGAGGTGGTCCTGAAGAATGACCGTTGCTGATGTAAGAACCTAAGATTCCTGTCTCACTTGGACTGTGAGCGTTTAATAGATTGTGAACAGTCTATTTGCTTCTTGTGACAGTTAGCTATAGGATAATGTAGGATTTTGTATCTGCAAGAAACAGTGCGCTTGGACGTTTCCATGATACACCCACTCTTCCTCAAAGGAAATAATCGAAACACAAAACAGTAAGGCTTAGAACAGGAAACAGCTACTAGTGGTAAAGGGCCATTGGGCAGATACACACAGGCTGCAAGAAATTCAGAACTAGGAATCCTTGAAAATAATGAAGTAGAGGTCTAAAGTCTGGGCTAAAAATCCCAAGGATCTATCTCACATCATGGGACCAAAGCCAACAGAACCTAGGTAAGGGTAGAGCAGACACAAAGGGGTCCCTCCTGTTCTCAGTAGCCATTCACTGGTTAAGCCATACAATGCCATCAATTCAAGAAGTGGAAGGTCATCATCACAAGCATCTTCTAATGACAGTGGGAGACAACAAGAGTAATACTAGTTTTCACACCATGCTTTCCTTTTGAACTTCAAGCCTTTCAAGGTTTCCATTACTGGCCAGGGAAGGGTATTTTACAAACGATTAGACAGACAGCCACAAGAATTATGTATGTAAGTCATCTAATGGGAGCCATGGTGTTCAGAAACGCATTCCTCAAGCCTCAGTGGCTGTGCTCTCTAACACACGCAACTACAAACTATCCTTAATAAAAACAGTGGCAAAGCAAGCTTGCTTTTAGCACATGCCTATTATAGAGTTCCTACACTGAAGTGTCTACAGTCTCAAGAGACTTGAGTTTGGGCTCGTGCTACCAGACTTTAATGAACGGGGACCCAGCACCATGGCAGCTGACCCCTAGACCGAGCTACTTACCATTTGTTTTCAGCGCCACCAGCTTCCTGACTTCTCGACACCAGTTCAGCTTCTTCTGGCTTTCGAGGGAGGCCTGGATGTTTTTGTCAATGAGAGCTTTGTGGATGATCTCTCGAAACTGCGGGCAAAACTGGCAAGTTCTGAACATTTCTAGTGTGTATCGGTGCATGGATTTGAAATGGTGAATGATCCCATTGGTAGGCTTAAATATATCTTCTGGAGTTCTCTCTCGTATCTTCACAGCTTTCCGCATGTTGCTCAGGTACAAAGCCTGGGGAAGGAGTTGTTCAGCCATTGTGCTCCGCAATACCTGAAGAGGAGGGGGGAAAACCCATTCTGTTAGTCCAACTTTGATACCACTCCTATATACCTGGCTGCAGGAAACCCCTGTGTTTGATCTTGTCGGTACCCTGATCTGTAGGCAAAAGATCTTAGTCACCTCTAGTCCCAGGATACTCGCTGGCCCCCAAGATTAACTCACACTGGACTGTTTTAAGTTACATCACTTTTAAAGATTAGTCTAAACAAGAGAAGGAAGGCGGAGAGTGGGTACTGAGGAGGAGGGGAATAACCCGTGTTTTCAGTAACGTCTGTCAGGGAGCCAAGCCCGTCTGTCAGCAACAGGTACTGTACCTCATAACCGATGAGCCCCCGTCTCATTCTGATGCCACTCTGACACAGCCACTGGATCTCAGGAGCCCTGAATGCCAGTGCCAGGCACGAGGTAGTCCTGACAAGTCCGTGGCTCCTCCCCTAAGACCACTGCTGAGCAACCCTTGCTCTTAGCAAAGCCCTGATTCATCCCTTGTAAGCCCTCTTGAAATGTTATGTTGTCACACAGGCTGCTGATTAGTTTCCTCTTTAGCCCCAACGTGAAATATTTATAAAGAGCTTATTTATAAAATGTATTATAATAGCTATAGAGTCAAAACTGACTACGTTATAACCAATGAAAAAAGCCTATTTCTAGTGAGATGCTTTGTAACTTTAAGAGCAAACAACATGCGATCTTTCAGAACCTCTCCGTTGAACTTTACAGCATCAGAATAAGAAGTAGAATAATAACAATAATAGAAGAGCAAGCACTGGTGCTCAATTATTCCAACTGCCAACCGGATTTATGGTCATCCTCCAGGGACCAACCAACACTCGGATGCACTTCCCGCCCTGTCTTCACCCTGAAATCTTTAAGCATAACTCACTGGTGGAAAGAAATGAAAGTCTGGAAGCAGATAAGGAAAGATGTTTCAGCCAGGGGGACACTCAGGGCAGATGAAAGACGACGCGGCAAACCCCAGCATCTACAACCCATGCCAACAGCATGGGATGTGGTGAATTGATGCAACCTGGGGTCTTTGCAGTGTGTGGCTGTTTGGAAAGCCAGCTCTCATTCCTAAGCCTCGAGGGCTGCCTCACAATACTTCTTGGTTTCCAAGATGAGACAAAGATGGTCTTAGAGCATGAAGATATTCCCTAGGAAGTTGCATGGGGATTGTTAAGCTCACTCCTGTATTGTAGCATTTGACAAGGCAAGTGTTTAGTTGAGAAAGACCTTAAGCCTGTCTCTGAGTGAGAAGAAACCTAGATTTTAGGGAAGCCACTCTTGGGTAGGACTAGGCTCTCTTAAAGCCATTGATAGATGGCTTGATAGATGGTTGAAATTCTTGTGGCCCACTCTAAACAGAAAGCTTGGACTAGAGGACCCTGACGTTGCTCCCAAGCAGTTTTCTGGTGATAGTTTTGGATCGGGATTCCTATTCCGATTGCCAGTGAGGCCAGGGAGACGTTATTCTCTGGGTCAGTTGATAACCTTTCCTTTTGACCTCAGACATTTGCTGAAGGTGGAAATGGGCAAAATTATAACAGGACCCCAAGCACCACGAAGGAACAAAAACATTACACACATTTCTGCTTTGTGGCCTGGCAAAAGTCTCATGATGTCACTCATTCATCTGTTCATCACTCAAGAAGTGCTGCCTGACCACCTGCTGAAGGTCAAGTGCCACGCTTTGATGCTGGATCTAAAATAATCAAAGCTGACCCCATTCTCTGTCTGCAGCCAGGTCAACAGAAATGCGGGCCCCCCTCGGGCTACAGGCCATCCAGGGCAGAGAGCTCTGCCTAGATGCCACAACTTCCAACACCTGCTCCTCGCTATTCCCACAACACAAGTTGTTCCCACAAGTGCCTGCTGCTCTGAGGGGGAAGAGGCGCGAAGGAAGAAGATTTGAAACAAGCTAAGTGCTGCCTTTTTGTTTCTCCGAGTCTTCTGTTATTCTCTTCTGACTTAAAAACTCAGCAAAGACCTCGAATAGTGAGAGCTGTAAACCATAGGCAAGACACGCAAATGTCAATACTGGATGGCTCAAGGTCATCTCATTCATAGGGTTAGCTTTGCACAGCCTGCAGAATTGCCTCCTTAAAAGAATCAAAATGCACCGTCCAAGCTCCCAGTTCTTGGACTTCTCCATGTTTAAAATTAAAGCATAAATTTTCCTGACCTGTGACTGACATATGCTATTACCCTTAACATCACTTTTACGTTTGTTACCTCTCTGACTTATCAGCAAATGCCTCACCCGAATTTTGGGAAAAGAATTCCACTGAAACTTCAAAAGTTGCACAAGGAATTGTAAAAGTCAAAGAAGCACCTTAGACCGCGAGAAGGGAGCAGTAACTGGCTGCTCAGTATCTGGGGGACAGTAGGGCTGTGGTCTGCTTAATGAACAATGGTTCTCTCCCATTGCTGCCCCCAGACACTAGACGAGACCAGCTTTCCAAGATCAGAGGCAGGGAGAACTGAAAACAAAGCGGTCTCAAAAGAGCTGAGCTCCTTCCTTACTTAATACCACTGCTTTCCTGAGAGGCCAGGTGGCAGGATGTGGGACGACCCGGGCTGACAAAGACTGTCTGACTGTGGGGTAGGGGCTGGGGCAGGCGCCTGCACAACGCTGTAAACCGGAGCCCCCGAAAAGCAGGCCAACCACACACTTCAACGCGCACGCTCGTCTTAACGCTGCTGCTGCTGCAACAGAAAAAGATGAACCCCTGTCCTTGACCCCCACCCCCCACCCCCCACCTCCCCGCACTCAACTCGAGTGTCTGCAAGCTGTCCCTGGACAGGCAGGCTGGCTGAGTCCCCCACCCCCGCCCGGTTTTGTCGCCTTTGCGACATCCCACCCGGCGGCGGGCTGGTTCGGCACAATCTGGAAAGAAGCCACAGCGGTTCTGCAAGGTCTACGTGTCCCAAAGCACGCAGAGCTTGATTTAAAAATAAAGGCACGAAAAGGAGCAAAGCACCAATGACCACCGATCTAACTAGCAGTCCGGAGGCGACCAGTCAGCTGCAGCTTAAGTGTTTTTGCAGTATTTAAAAGGACCGGTTGGCTGGACGAATCCAGAGCTGTCACCCCAACATCTGGCGCGGCGACCTCAACTCGTAGCATTTCAAAAACGACAACGGGCACACACGGCCAACAAACTCCCCTGCAAGCGCCCCTGCAAAGCCCATGCCGGCTAGACGAGGCCAGCCCGCGAGTCGCGGGCAGTTACGCACTCGCAGCCCCGGCCCCGCGGAGCCGGCGGCAGGCGGCACCGGGACGCGGTGGTTACCTGTCCCGGCCGCGCGATCCTCTTCCTAAGTCCCAAGTCCAGGTCAGGGCAGGCGCGCGCCGCAGGCGGGGATCGAAGCCGCGCGGAGGAGGCGCCCCATGGACGCCGGAGCCGGGCGCTCGCTAGCTGGCCGGGGGTGTGGATCGCGCCCGCTGCCGCCGCCGCCGCCGCCGCCGCCGCACTTCTCCCGGCGGCTGCTGTCACCGCTCCGCCCCCGCGGGCTCCGAGCTCGCTGCACTTGGCCCGCTGTGAAGGCTGAAGACTGCCAGTTCTCTTTTTCCCTTTCTGTTTTACCGCCGGCGGAGAGCCGGGGGATTTCCACCCAGGGACTTTCCAGTCACGTGACGCCCGGCCCGGCGCCGAGAGCCGCGCGTCGCCGGCCGCCAGGGGGCGCAGGGGCTCAGAGGGCGCGGGACGCGCGGGAGGCGCGGGACGCGCGGGAGGGGCAGCTGGCGCCGGAGGCGAGCGGCGCCCCGCCCCGCCCCGCTCCGCCCCGCCGCGCCCCGCCCCCCACGCGAGAAACTCCTCGCCCCGCCCCCGGGTCTCCCCGTGTGAGTCACCTGGGCATTTCGGAAGCTGGCCCAACGTCACATCCATGTGGAAATCGTGGTGATGGGAACTGGAAATGAAATCGGTTCTTTTTTCTCAGCCGTTTTTCTGCAGAAAATCACCAACTGTGGAGAACAAGAAGGGAAATCATAAAGAAAGAAAACCCTAAAAACCACCCCGGCGTCCGGGACTGCAGGCTTCGGTCGGGTTTGAAAAGCTGGGGCTGCGCACGTGATGAGCTCGTACGCGAGCGCCCTGCTCTGGGCCCCTGCGGGGATTTCGAGAACATGAAGAGGTCACGGTCCTCGGCCCCCACGCCAGCGTTCCTGCCACCGGACCCCACCTGATGGGATGCAGGTCCGAAGTGACGTCTAAGGCCCCAGCGCCTTGACATTTGCAGGGGCAAAACCAGTCTTAGGTGACGTTCAGAATCAGAGCAACTATCAACCCTGCCCTGCACTTAATTGATTGCCCCTTCTCCGGGTCTGCACACCAGTGCTCAGGTGATGCCGCGTTCAGGTAGGATTGCAGTTTAGAAATCACTTCTAGTCCATTACTCTCCTTGCCATGGCCCCCTAAGACCTTATTAGGTGTTTTTTTTAGATCCTGACGATTAGTTCGTGCCAAGGTGCCGATGGCTGACAAATACTTTTTACCCACCCCAACCCTTTTTAAATAGTGGGGTGACTTACCACCTTTACCCAAACGATGTCATGTGGGAATAGATGTCAGCTGCCTGGACGGTGGAGGTGCATGCACTGTGGAGGGAGAGGCATTAGGTACGTTTACTGCATGGGGGTCCCCTTTGGCCCATTTCCTAGAATAGCTAAAACTAGAACCAGACTGAGATATTCTGTGCCTTGTCCCCTTCTAGACTTAACTATACTTGTCAGGCTACGTATCCCAGTTTTGGAATTAGAAAAGTATGCTTCCATCTCCAGTGAGGACCTGCAGAGACTGGGATGGGGGCTGGAGGGAAGGTGGCACTTTTTTGGCAAAAGGAGACAGAGTAGAGAGTCAGTGGTGACCAGCGTTCCAAGGCTGGGGGCACTAGCTGTTTGAAATCGATGGCTGGGACATTTGACAACCCCAGACCTCATGGTGTGTCTTCTTACACCTCCTGGCATAAATTCCTTATTCACAAATGGTTTTAGCTGCCAACTCTCAAACAATGGATAGCACATGTGATAATGTTTATGAAGCCCTTCCTAGGTGCCATTCTCCAGACTAAGTGTTTGAAGTGCACTCTGCCATTTAAACCTCACAACAACTCCACCTTGAAGCTGAAGAAATTGAAATGTAAGAAGCGTAAGCCATTTGCCTGAAGTCTACACAGTCGGCCAGTGGCAGAGCGGCGACTGGGCCTGGGCCTGTTTACTACAAGGTACACGCTGTTAAGTCTTAACTATTACTCTCAGAAAAGATCCCCCAAAGTTTGAAATCCCAAGACCCCTGTTTCTAGCCTGGCCCCCAGCCTCCCAAACACCTGGCAGTTATTTAGTCCAACTGTGGACACTGGGCAGCGACAGAATGTGGTCTTGGGAGCCAGACAGGCCTGGTTTCATCCTCAGGGAACTTCCTGGGCTAGGTGACATGATAAAAGACGGTGTATGTGAATGGCCATCCTCAGTCCTTAGACCACGCTCCCTTTGGGCTCCTTGGGAAACAGAATGTACCTGCTCTCTCTCTCATGTCTGTCTGGCTCTGGCCCCCCAACCCCTCCCGTAGCTGCCATTGTGCCTTTGGGTCCGTGTTCACTGCCTGGTTTGATGAGCTAGTAATGCAATAGCAGGAGTAATAAGACCATGACCATATCTGCCCCTTCCGAGTGTCCCAAGGAAGCTATGCCACCTGCCTGCCGGGATTTGTGACAAGTGAGCAGTCAGATGCAGGAGTGGTCTGTAGCCCTCAGTTTTGCTCTGTCGTCGTGTTTCCGTTCTGGTGGACTGACCGTCTCTGTCGAGAAGTCATACTCGGTCCTGCGGTCTCCCCCAGTGTTTACTGTCCTTTTTGTCTTCAGAGTCAGGGCTCCGGCATTTTCCTTTCTGATATTTAGCACGTGGGCAAAACCAATAGGAATTTTTCTTGGCACTACGTTAGAAGGAAAGGGTAGAAGGGGAACAGAAAAAAGATATAACATTTGGAGAGATTGGTGGAATGCACTGAAGCCCAAAGTTTGAATGCCCCAAAGTCTTGCAAGAGACTTTAGTTTACATGAGAGACTTTGTCATGATGAATAGAACTCTGTAAAGGAGAAAGTATGGTTATTAACGTCCATGGGACACATAGGAGGAAAAAACATGTTTTCTTAGGGGAAAGCTGAGCTCTGATTATGCGGAATGCTTAGAAGAATTCTCAAATTACATGCCATTTTCACTGTGGTGCCCGAATTCACAGGTCACAGATCACACAGGTGATAAGCACATGTGACCTCTTGGAGTTAGCCTGCACACCTGTGTCTGCAGTCTGTATGCTTATGCCATGTAATGAAAAATATGGGCGTCCCAAGATGGAGGGGGGCAGGGAGCAAAAGAGACCAGATGAAAGAGAGGCAGATATGACGGTTAGGAAGGGAACCCGACTCAGCACAAACTGTGGTTCACAAGCCTTTCTTAATCAAGATACAGCCATGTGTATTTATGAGAGTGTGTGGAATTCTAGGGCTTGGCAATCATGTGTCAAACGAAAATCAGACATTTTGTATGCATTGCACCATTCTTCCTTTTTCTCCGGGACTGTGTTCTGTTGCAAAGGAGGATCTATATTAAAAGTACCTTGAAAGAGCCTTTTTAAGTATGGCAGTGTAGCAGGGTAGCTTTGAATCCTACTGCAAATTTAAAAAAATATTTTTTTTAATGTTTATTTTTGAGAGAGAGAGAGAGACAGACAGAACATGCTTGGGGGAGGGGCAGAGAGAGAGAGGGAGGCACAGAATCCAAAGCAGGCTCCAGGCTCTGAGCTGTCAGCACAGAGCCCGACATGGGGCTGGAACTCAAGGACCATAAGATCATGACCTGAGCCGAAGTCAGACGTTCCAGCGACTGAGAGCTCTAGGTGCCCCTCCTGCTTCAAATTTTAATAACCTTTGACTGAACTTCGAGATTACTGAAGAATGATGTTCCCACTTTCAAAGGCTAGTTCTGAGAAGACAATGGAGGCTCTTTGTGGGCTGTAATGACAAGGAAAATTGTGATGATGATGTCATAGATTTCATCATGATACAAATGCCAAATTCTCCTGAAATGCTACTTTCTTATCTAGGAACCTACCTTTGTAGGTATTATCTGGGGGTGAGTAGAGAAACAAAGACCCACGTGGGTAAGGGGACTTAACTGAGGTAATCCAATGAGTCACTTCTAACAGAAACAAAGACCTTCCAGTGGAAGGGAGGGAGTTAGTTTAATGCCAAGAACAGCTTTTTTTTTATTCCATTTTTCCTGAAACTATGGGATGCCGAACTCTAAAACTTGCCGGAAAATTCATTCCCCCATGAATTCTGGTTTAATTTCCTGTCAATACCTGGCTGAAACCCTGGGAAAAATGATTTCTTTTACATTATGAATATAAATATTCAATTCTTGGCTTCATGTCTGTTTCTGTGGAAGCTGCTGTTGATAACCAGATATGACCCATGATGAATCTGAAATAAGTGCTGCTTACAACCCAATGGTAGCAGCATTGGGTTTAGCAGTAAGCAGGCTGTTAACTGAAATAAATTAGCTTTGTTTTGGAATAGTATTACCATTGTGAAGATTGGCCTTTGCTACTCCTTTCTTCTCTTCCTTTGAGCCTGAATTCCCTCAATCGTGTTTGGGGTGCCCATAATTTCGTCTCCTTCCAATCTTGCCTCCTCTCCCTCTTTACCCCTCCCCTACGTCCCTCCCCCCATCTCCATAAAAAAGGATTTTGGTTTTCACTTTTTCAGGGGCCTGTTTTTGGGGACTGGCTAATCTAAGGTATATCATGTTCATTTTCAAAACAAGATGGCGATGTGTTATTCTGTTATATTTCTTGAGAAACATTCCTGTTGAAACCAGAACTTCCCAGAGCTTAAATGGCAGAAATTCCAAGCACTTTAGCAGGCTGGAGAAGAAGCTGTTATATCTCCAGGATTCAAGAGTCCACAGTTATAAGATACACCATGGACTTAATAATGTGGTGGGTGGGCAAAGCAACCTCACATACACGTGTCCGCTCTTTTACTCACTGGCAATGGGGCACATTTATTGATGTCATCATATTCCTCTTTCTTCCTCTCTGTGTAGGGAAGAAAAGATTTTTCCTCTTCTCTCCTAGATTTGACAGCCGGGTCTATGAAGTAAACTGACAGCAGTCAGATTAACAGAAGAAAATGTATACAAATTTGTTAATCTTTAATATTACATATATAGTGGCATCATAGGAAAACAGTGTATACCCCAAACAGTGGTGAGATTTGACAGCTTGTGTAGGGGAAGGGAGGGAGGGATTTAGGCAATTTAAGGGAGAGCAGATGGTTTTTAAGGAAGATGAATGGGATGAATAGAATAGGCGATGTGACAGTTTGTGACAAAGTTTGGGTGTGGTGGCAATATCTAGTCTGTTCTCCTGTGATGAGTCAATGGTTGATAAAGCTCCTGGGATGGGATCCATAACAGTTGAGTTCATTTTGGAGGTTCTGTCCTTAGGTGGATAAGGGAAGATCCAAGAAAGCCTGTTCCTGCATTTTCTGTCTTTCAAGTGCCTTTAGCTCAACAATTTCAGTGTACCAAAGTGTGTATTTTGGGGTCGCATGTCCTGAACTTAATCAGAAGAAAGGAAGGGAGGGAGGGAGGGAGGAAGGAAGGAAGGAAGGGCAAAATTCACCCCTGTTGTGTTGTGTTTCCAGCTCAGCAAGAAGCTCATTTTAACTTAAATTTGGATTCCCATTAGTTAAATAAAATATCTTTACAAGATACATTAAGATGTTGTATTGAAGCTGAAATAGAAAAACACAGAACAAAATCACATGAAAATGTTCTAAGAGAAGCAAATGCTCATCATTAGAGAGATGATTGATTGCTCTTTGGTTATTTCTGGTAAAGCAGAAATCCAGTGGCCTTTTGGGACCTATGAAGAAAGGTCCCCACATAGAGATAAAGCTGTTTAAGTGTGTAATGAATATATAGACCATGCCTGGAGACTGAAGGCTTAGACAATTCCAAATTCCTTCCCAAAGCTAGAATAGGCACCTGTCCCTGAAAAGAATATCTTAAAGGACTCTCATTTCTAGATGAACTTTAAGAGAAGTTTAAAGGACAATATTTCATGGTCAATCCTAACACTCTAAAGAAGCCAGCAGAGGAAGGAACCAGCTTATTCAAGACAGCCTGTCTTAGCACCTCAGGGCATAATGGTTAAGGGCCAAAATCAGCTCGGAAGAATCATAAAACTACAAGAAGCCTTAGATCCAAACATGGATGGTGACAGTTGAAGGAATTCAAGGCATGTCAATCCGTCAGTCCCAAAATATGCCCTTTGTAGTACTGATGATTTTGAGCTGAAGGCTGTTGGAAAAACAAGTGCCTGGGGTTGCCTGGGTTTTTCACACTTGAAATCAATCTGCTGAATCTGTCCTGAGACAATTTCAGCTCTCCAGAAAAAATAATCCATAGGCATCATGTTTTATCTGCAGAATGAAATGCAGTTTTCTATGGAAACAATGATATGTCATAGAAGCACTCCCCAAAATTCAACTTGTTACATGTCGGCTCTGAAATAAAACCTTAAGAAGAAATGCCTTGATTCTTCAGGCTCTCGACTCTTCGGGTTGACCCAAACACTTATTCTTTGGTTGGTTCTTAATGATGTCAGACACCCAAACTTGAACAAATGAGAGCTTAAAAAAATTATTTTAATGAAAGAACTTAATTCATATGTATATTCCTGGCTTTGAACTCCAGGAAAATTACTGTACTGCTTGGGTGGCTGAAAAATTCTTGGCCCTGGGCATTTTAACAGTAATCGCTCAGAAATGTACAACCTGTTATGTCTTATTCCCTAACTACAGTAGGGTTTTGTTTTTGTTTTTGTTTTGATAATCAGATGACTCAAATGGAAAACATACCACAACAAAATGTAAACAATCTCCCAAGTTAATGATCATTTACTCTAAGTTTGAAAGCTTCTATTTGTCTGATATTTTCTGAGTTAATGCTTGTTTTACTTTTAAAAAAGAAACGTAAATCTTCAAGTTGAAAATTCTGCTAGAAATCATTTTGAGAAACTTTAGGGGAATTGGTAAAACTTACAGCCGGGCCAAGATATTATTTTTTCCTTTTAAAATTGGTTTTACTTATAAAATGAAAGATTTGGAATAGATGGATTCCCAAGAGTCATTCCAGCTCCAACATTTTATCCTTCTAT